GGCCCGGCCCGGCCCGCCGGCGACTTCAGACGGAGGAGACTTAGCAACTACAGAAGTCAGGACGGGTGCAAAGCGAGCCTGGCATCCACGCCGCAGGGGAAAGGTCCGTTATATTTTACATGCAGCCCTGTTTCTGAGGTGCATTCGCTGGAAAACGGGTGTTGCTGTGATGCGACAGCCGCAAGGAGTGCGCTTTAACGCAGTTATCCCTTAACAAATAGATTCCTCTCTCGGTTGATTCGCAATGGGCAACGTAAAATCCAGCATCTCGCAATTTTAGCGGTATGGGCAGAGATTAAGAGAAGGGACCGAGTGAGTCTGCCATCTTCCTATCTCATTTGCTTTGCACATACCTGCTGCGATGCCTGTAACACTGTAAGTGTGCAACCATTGAATTTTGCACTAGAGAAAAAAATTGTAAACGTGAAATATTGAAAAGCTGCTCTTTGATGGACATAATCCCTTGACTGAACTGCATGGAGGGAGAACTTGCTTATTTGCAATGCCCCAAACGCCTGCAATTTAAAAGTTTATTATGATGTATTGTCCTAGAACTAACTGCCCTGGGCCTTAATGCCAACTCTGATGGACAGAGCCAAAAGACTACAAAATACAAACATGTTTCACTTCCATTATTTAGGTACATATTAGCTAATGCAAAGGTGACATTAAAAAGTACATTAACATATTTTACTAAGCCAGGAGTTTAACAGTCTTATTTCAAAAAAGACAGTTTCCCGCCCTCCCCCAAATGTACAAGGGTTCCTTTCAATGCAATTTTTATAATGGCTACCAAAATCAACCAGTTACATATGAAAAGTATTCATTCCCTCCAAATAATGTAATGCCAGTGCTACAATACATTGCAAAAAGTTGCACATAGAAAAATTTAATACTTAACTTACAATGCAATATGGGGGAGGCTGTTTTCTTAAGGTATTTGAATTCCCTGAAAATTCTAGACTCTGTAAGCAGTTTCCTATTTCTAAAGAGCCAACATTAACTTGAAATTCTTATGTCCAATAATAATTTCTGCATTTACAGGTATATGAAGTAGCTGCTAAGTGAAAGGACATTACCTGGTAATTTGACAGGAAAAGAGTCCATAGACAGTCTGTAAACCAATTAAACATAAACATCTGATGCACATTTTCTACTGAAAGAAAAGCAAGGGAAAGAAGAGAAAGGAAAACTTTAAGGTTCCCAAATCTACAAACAATTTTTACCATTAACTGTATTGTACAGTATTTTCATTGTATTTTTTAGAATACTTATATAAAAGTGTTTTTCAGGATTCCTTGGGGGAGGGAATATGTTAGCATAGATATATAGTTTCTAAGTTACCTACCCTGTTGAATTACCTTAATCCTAGGACTCAAAATAAAAATGGCTTTTTAAAGTCAGTTCATAGTCACATCATTTTCACTTTGAGATGTTTGATGGAAACAGCTAAAGGCAAAGAACAGTGGATATGCATAGACTTTAGGTGGGTAAAGACAAAAAATAATGAGGGCCCTTGAGGTAGAAACTCAGGCTTTATAATACCATGGTGATAAAGGAGGATTTTCCATTTAAATGTGAAAGCGAATATATGACATTTATGTAGCTGGTTACCAAAAGAATTTTAAAGCATTGTCAAAAATGCAAGGTACAAAGGTACAAGAATAATTTGCTTGCGTAAGGCCCATTTAATCTTTGATTCTTCAGTTAAACCTCAACAAAAATCCCAACTGATAAAAAGCTAGGGATCACAGCCTCTTTAAGCTACTTAATGAATTCTGAAGTTTCAGGAAAATCGAGGTCTGAGAAATACTTGAATGGGTATCTATCTTGCTCACAAGTGACCTTTACATTTATTAATACTATGTATTAATTTTACTAATTTTAAGGGACATTATGGTATAGAGGAAAAACATTCCCTCTACATTTTTCTTCTTCCCGTCTTTATAAAGGTGGGTTCAGTGATTTTTTTTTTTTAGGTTCAGAGATCCCAAAAGTAAAGAGAAACAGCTCCAGTATTTTAAGTCATCAGTAACATGTGACTACTATATTCAATACAGTCTACTTCCATTTTATTCTAGTGATATATCTTTACAAATTTTAGGAGCCACCTTAAGGAAAGTCTTTTTCAAAACTCTTCCTACCGCTTCAATATTAAATATGTAAAAATTAAGTATTCATTAGCCATAGAATCTTAGTGTTGGATGGGACCTAGAAGGTGCTTTGGTATATTTCTCCCCTATCTAGGTAGAATCCCTTACTATGTTTCCCCACTCATTACCTGGCTTTTCTGCCTACACCTCCAATGACTCACTGTGTCATGAAGAAGCTGCTCTTTAAAAAAATAAAACTCTAATTTTTGGAACATTCTTTTGATTAATCCAGTATCTACCTCTGTGTTACTTCCGTTACTCTGAGTTCTTCAGCACTTTGGATTAATACAACAGATGTCTTCTTTGTATTCAAATGCAAACAGTCAATATTTATACTTGGGTTAACAAAAAATAAATGTTGAAAGTCTACTGATACTAGAAGAGCTGAAAACAGAACATGACAGAGTTAAAAGCATGAGAAAACTCACCAATATCTATGAGTTGCGTAAAAATATTATGGTTTACAGTATTTATTAATGTGATATTCAAAATGGTCGTTCTGTTAATTGAAGTATTATGTTTAAAATTAAACTAAAAAGGTGGTTAATTCCAATTCTATGTGAGGTTTGTGGCTAATGTCCCAAAACAAACAAAAACTTCACTATACAAAGCCTGAATAAATGCCTCTTTAGCTCCCATTCCCCACGTAAAGGCTTCCTATTTTCAGGGAAACTAACATTAACTTTTACTACATTAAGCTGTTCAAAACTGCTATTATATTGGAAAATTATTTTAAAGCAATTTACTGAATGCTCCATTAAAAAGTTATTAAACAATTTTATAGAAACTATAATACACAAGAACCACTCAGAGTTATTTTGTTAACAAAAGCATTTTACGGTCACAATTTTACTTCAACCCCAATAAGTAAACTTCTTTGGCAGTTTACATATCCTACGAAATACCTTCTATTCAATACCGATACCTGATTCAAATATAAGTAATATATACCCATATGTATAAGCTGTTATGCAATTCAAAAGGTACCTCTCAAAATGCACCAAAAAAATTCTGTAACAACTTAGACCCTGGGGCTGTTTGAGTGAAACAGATTAATGCAACACATTCAAGACCCTAAAAACAAATCTATATCTAATAAATTTCAGAGTCCCTGAGTGCCTTTTGAGATTTTGTAATTATTTCCTAAATTTTTTGTTTAAAAGTGGCAGCCTACACATTATGTGCAGGTAAAAAAATTATGGATAATCACTAATTTGGTTGAAAATACCCTCCCCCCCCAAAAAAAATGACCTATTTTTAAAAATGACATTTTCAATAAAGGCTGAGAGTTGACCTTTACTTTGTTTAGTAGGCAAGATGTAGGTTACAAAGCAGTAATGCATTACACATTTGGAAGCCCCTCATCTATTCGACAATCAGCATCAGCATCGGGATGTTAGTTTGATTTTTATTGTTAACGCCAGCCCAAGACACACCTTTTGGTTCTTCAAGGAACAGTTTAGGCTTTTCTCCTCATGTTTACATAGAAGAGTTTTACCCAGTGGCCCTATTTTATCAGACTATCACCAACTGATATTTTTATAGCTCTTAAACTGTTGACATGTTATTTTTATTTCACCCAAACTCGAAATTTTTAGCCCATCCGCAGTTCTCAACACGGGAACATTTAAGAACAATATACTGACAGTACTGGAGGGAGTTTGGATTTTCCCTCCCTTAATCTCCAAGTGTGCCCCTGCCTACCAGCGTCACATCCGTCTTGTCTGCATTGAACCTCAACCAGTTGGTTCTTAACCACGTCCGTAACTCAGCCAGGCACTGGGAGAATCGAGCCACCACACCATCTGGATCAAAGGAAAGAGAGCCTCAGTAGTAACCTGACCAGAGACCATGATACCACAAGCTCACCATTCACCCTGTCTCTACTTTTTAAAAGAGATGTCCAGGAATTGGGAGAAGGATCCCACGACCATTTTTTGAGAACATGAGCGAATCCTGAGTCATACAATTTGTAACCAACGTTAAAAGAATAAAAGCGACTCAATTGCATAGATCAACTCATTCCACCCGTGAATGAAGAAAGAAGGTTCAGTCAACTCCAGATCACCTCGGCTGAGCGGCCCCAGGAGACCGGCCAGTCCTAAGTTTTTCTGCAAAATTAAGAATTTTAGCGTTGGCGCAAGCTTTACGGATAACTGCGGCCCAGAAAGGGGTAGTGACTTGCTCAAGGTCACCCAGCAAGCGAGGACCAGAGTTAAGCTACAGGCCAGAGATCTTTCCATGAAAAGCTGGGAGAACAAGGCCAAAGGAGGGGGAGGCATCTGTCCCCAGGAATCCTTCCAGCGGCTGGGAGCGCCTCGGTCCCTCCCAATAGTGCCCTCTTGGAGTCTCTCTTCCCTCCCTCACTCCCTCTAGAAAGAGATGGTTTGCCCAGGACCCTGCTCACCACCAGGGCTGCAGGGCGAGCAGGAGCCTCCCCCGGGCTGGGACCGAACCCCAAGATGCTGGGGAAAAAAGGCGGAGCCACAGGGGGGAGGGCAGCTTAGCCCCACCCCGACCTGGACCGGAGGCCGACAGGAGAAAGGGGCGGAGGCGATCAGGGTCAGGCACACTCACGCCGCTGCAGATTCCCAGCCAGCCAGCCAGCCGCGGGCACTGCCAAAGCAAAAGACCGGGCTGGGAGGGGGGCCGGGGGGCAGGAGGGGAGCTGCGCATGCGCCTCGGCGGCTCGCGCCCCAGCGGGAGGGAAGCGGGCGGCAGCCCCTCCCCGGAAGTTCAGGGTCTTCCGGGCGGTACTCTGCGGTGGGGGAGGGGAAGGAGAGAAAGGGGACAGAGGACACCTCGGGAGCCCCTCGTCCCAAAAAGGACCAGGAGAGGGGA